ACTCCAACAGGTTGCAAACAATAACAATTCATTATTATTCTTCAATAGAAATTATCGCATCCCTTCACTTTCTCTCTCTACATTTTCCTGCACAAACCCTAAATCTTCATATGGTATCATCGTCAAAGATCCTATAGATCTCATCATCTTCCGCTCTAATCTCGAATAATTGATGCTGATGGCGAATTCGATCCCCAATCCGATGGACGATCTTTCATCGCCGTTCTATTTGCACGCGAGCGATAACCCAGGCGCCCTCATCGTCGCCGATCTGTTCAACGGCGACAACTATGTGTCCTGGAGCCGCGCAGTGCTGATGGCCTTCAGTGTCAAAAACAAGGTCGGCTTCATTGACGGCACGATCGCTACTCCTTCGCCGACTGGTAACTCTATTCTTTACCTATCTTGGATGCGGGCGAATAATCTGGTTCTCTCTTGGCTCCTTAATTCGATTTCAAAAGAAATAAGACAATCTCTTTTATTTTTCACAACTGCAAAGGAGGTTTGGGAAGAAATTCGCACTCGCTATGCCCTCAGCAGTGGACCTAGGGTTTTTCAACTCGAAAAATCCCTAAGCACCATTGATCAGGGAACTTTATCCATAACTCAGTATTATAATCGATTCAAATCTCTGTGGGACGAGTATATTACATATCGTCCCCTTCTGAAATGTCATTGTGGTGCTTTATCTACCTGTACTTGTAATCTGTTTGATTCTATGGTTGTTGCCCAACAAAATGACTCTGTGATGAAATTCCTTGTTGGTTTACATAAATCATATTCCTCACTTCGAAGTCATTTCCTGTTGTCAACACCTTTGCCTTCCTTATCCACTGTTTATTCTCTCCTACTGCAAGAAGAAAGCCAACGTAGCTTATCAAACACCAGTAAACCGATTGATTCCCTGGCCATGTTGGCAAAGACATCAAACACTTTTAAACCGCATTCCAAACCTCAGTTCTCAAAAGATCCAAAAGACAAGAAACGCATCAAATGCACCCACTGTGGTGTTCTTGGCCACTCATCTGATCGTTGTTATCACCTCATTGGTTTTCCTCCACACTGGAATGTCCCTAAAAACTCTAAACCTACCTCAAGCCATTCAGCCAATGCAACTATAACCAATGACACATCTTCTGAACTCACAAACTCTGACTCTGTTACTAACAATTTGTTTAATGAGTTCCTAGCTTTCAAAAAAGCACATGAGTCAGATGCTGTAAAACATACTCCTGCTGTTGCTACTGCTTTTGCTGGGGACTCAGGTAAGTTCTCATTTACTTGCAACTCAATTACATCATTATCTAAATGCTCATGGATAATTGATACTGGAGCAACAGATCACATGATTTGTGATTCATCCTTATTTACAATGCACACTCAGTGTACATCCACTAAAATTAGTCTTCCTAATGGTAGCCACACCATTGCATCTAAAATAGGAACTGTGCATTTGACTAATAGTCTTGTTTTAACTGATGCATTATATGTTCCTACATTTACTTTCAATTTGATTTCAGTGTCCAAACTTGTGGCTACAAACTCCTGTTATGTTCAATTTGTTTCTTCTTGTTGTCTCATACAGGACAAAACCACTCACAAAATGATTGGTTTTGCTGAGCTAAAGGCAGGGCTATATCATCTATCATCATGTGTACCTGCTTGCATATCTGATTTACCTTCTGTTTCTTTGTTGTCTAATGTTCAAACCTTAAACCATGTATCCCCTTCATTACCTGTAAATACTGTGACATCCATCACCTCAGATAATCACATTTGGCACTACAGACTTGGACATTTGTCTCATAGTAAACTGCAGTTGTTACCCTTTTACAATGGTTCTTCTATTCATAAACAACCTTGTGATGTCTGTCATTTTTCCAAACAAAAGAAAATTCCATTTCCTTGTAGTTCATCAATTGCTGATGCTCCTTTCTCTCTTATTCATTGTGACTTGTGGGGACCATTTTCAGTAGAGTCTCATTCTGGCTTCAAATATTTTTTAACTATAGTCGATGACTTTAGTAGGGTAACATGGATTTACCCACTTGCATACAAATCTGACACAAGAAAATTTTTGGAACACTTTTATAATATGGTCCTTACTCAGTTCAATTCCAAAATAAAAGTACTCAGATCAGACAATGGTACTGAGTTTCTTCTCAATGATTTTTACACTACAAATGGAATTTTACATCAAACTAGTAATGTTGAAACTCCACAACAAAATGGAAGAGTTGAAAGGAAACACCAACACTTGCTTCAAGTTGCTAGAGCATTGTTATTTCATGCTTCTCTTCCATTACCTTTCTGGATTGATTGCATTATTGCTGCTGCACATATTATTAATAGAGCTCCCTCTTCTGTTCTAAATAACAAAACACCTTATGAAATGCTCTATCACAAAGTTCCCTCTTATGATCATTTAAAAGTCATTGGGTGTTTGTGTTATGCATCTACTTTATCTGCTCACAGAGGTAAGTTTGACAAAAGGGCTTCTAAGTGCATTCTTCTTGGTTACCCATTAGGTTGTAAAGGGTATAGACTTTACAATCTAGAAACCAAGAAAACATTCATATCCAGGAATGTGCAATTTTATGAGTCTGTTTTCCCCTTTGCCAAACCTGATACAACCTCTTCCTCACAACC